GCACTTGTACTCCAAACACTGCAAAATGCTTACAAAAAAAGCTCAAATTAGTTCAGTTTCTCAAAAGTGTTTCCAAAGTTGTCACCTATTTGATTGCTGACATGAACATGTCAGGGACCAGAGCTGAGTAGTAGCCTGGAGGAGCAGACCTTTCTGGCCTTCACAGCATCATCTCTGTCCATCACAGCGTAGCTGTGTGAGCGGTGGGGCTCTGGCACATCTTCTGGAGAATCTGAAGTACGTGGCAGTAAAAAAGACAGGTATTGACATGATTCTGGATGTGACAGAAAAAGCATTCGATGTTCAGTGTGTTTCAGTTCTCATCATTGATGCATAATCAATTTGTTACAACAGATTCGTGTTTTAGAAAGTCCATGAATTAAAGATTTCCTTCTTCCTGAAAATGAGAGAAGTGTATGTACTAAACTGGTGGGACCCTGTTCTTTTTCTTCTCTGGAAGTCCTGGAGGGATGGTCACTCTTAGATCTGTTTTGGTGCAGAACACTCGCAGTGATGTTGGAATCCATACTGGGTGCATAATCACATGAAGCTTCTGTCTTGAAACAGATTAACTGTCCTGAAAGAAACAGATGGTGTAAAATTGTCTAAAAAATATAGAAAATTTATCAGTTTATTTAAAAAAAAAGTTACTTGTATATATTTGCAGTTTTGCCAAGGATTTGACTTTTTGCAAGGCAATTTCAGCCCTAATGAAGTTGCATAGAGATGTCTGAATCGACCGTACAAAACGGTGTCATTCACTTCCAGTTTTTCACAGCAGGAATTCTTTTTGAAAATGCGAGCCAGATTGAACCCGAGGCCAGCAATTTCTCTGGATTGGTTTAGAAATCTGAGTTCACATGACCTGACTCTAAATCCCGGATCGGTGCCAGACCTCTTTTCCCAGATCGGTCTTATTTTCAGCATTTCTGCAGATCCCAATCGGCAGTTGTTTGTTCCAACATCTTTGCAAATGAAGTTACCCACTGAGCATCGTTCAGGGAGTAATTAGGTGACTGGTTCTCTCACAGTGAACTGGATCGAGGGATAAATGTTAAAAAGAATTATGTCCAAAATAATTAAGTTTAAAAGAAATGTTCCTTGGGCTATGGCCTCACTCTTGTTTTTTACAATAAACTTTTTGGGTACTCATATTGTTTATTATGATAATAAAGTTAGAGAAATTAAGCCTGCTTCCTAATAATAAGAATCTTTGTTCTGTTCTTCATTCCAGTTTCTGGGTTTCGTAGGTGCCAGGCAGCTGCTGGGTGTTTGACAAAATGATAACATGCCCCCAGGGCCTAACCTAAATACCTGGGGCAGGAAAAATAGGAAAAGAGAGAAACAAATAAAAGATGACAGTAAACAGGAAGAGATACACATAAGTTTAAGTAAGAAATCAGAGCAGTTATTTTGATGAACTGCTCCATCCAGTGTTTCCAGCACAGCAGCGCCCGTGACCCCGGCGCGGTGTTGGGGGGTGCCTGTGGCAGGCTGGGGGACAGGAGGGGTGCTGGTGGGGGGTCCTGCTGCCTCTGGAGGGAGGGATGGGATGCAGTTTGCAGCTGTCGTGATGGCTGAGCAGAAGAAAAGCTTCTAAGAGAAATGGTGGAATAGTTTCAAGGCCGGCAGGAGTTACTTGTCCTTATAGTTATTTTTAAAGAAAATCTTAAGAAAATATGTCTGTTGTCATGCTAAGAAAGTTTTATTGCCTGAAGGTTATCAATAAGTTAACTTGCAGATACCATTTTAAGTTACTAGAAGGAAAGCTGAGGTCTTTTTAAAGTAAAGTTTTCATGATTTATTGTATATGTTATGAAGAGTGAAAAATCTATTTTGTTTCCATTTATTTTCCAAATACAGACTTGGTTCTAAAACAACAAGGCTGGAATTCTGCCTGAATTTAATCTTTGTTTTACGTTTTTGAGTTGGAGGATGTCTTTTTCTTCTGCAGTATTCTGCAAAATTTTATGTTGCAAGTAATTTTTATTTTTTTTTAGTTAACATTAAAACTTTTTTAAAAAATAAAAGAAAGCAAAAATCTATCAAAGCCATAGTATACTGTCATTGGAATGGCAGTGTGTGAGTGTATGGAGGTACCTGTTTCGGCTCACCTGTTATTGTAAAAGTATCATTTTTTTTAAAATAAAGTATTAGAATGTATGCTTTTATTGTCTAAAGGAAATCTTGAGGTACTGTAATTGCATATAAATTCTGCCATTTAGATGTTTGCTCGTTCTGGTGGTCTAGGTAAGAAAGTTCACGCTAAACTCCTTGCAAGTGTCAGTACCTTGCACGACTTTAAAAGAGCCTGGAATTCCCTTTCCTCTGGCATCGCTTTCGGGAGCGGGTTGTGCCTCAGCCCGGGGGGGGCTGCGGGGGGTGCGGTGCCAGGGGCACGGACATCCTCTGGTTTGGATGTGTCACTCAGGAGTGACGTGCCCTCCTGGACCATTGGTTTGGGGCAGGTGGCGGTGAGTTTGGTGCTGTGTTTCACTCTGGTTGGCTCACGTTAATTTCTCAGGACAGCGGTGGTTGTTGGGCAGTGACACAGCTCAGGGCATCGCCCCAATGAACTCCAAGCCCTGGCTTGGCTTCAGCTGGTTTCTCTCCCGGGCCAGGGGAGGTGTCCCCAGTGCCTGGTGCGCTCTCTGAAGGGTGATTTTCCCTCTCACTTACCTGAGGGACATCTTCCTATTCTGTTTTTTTTCCAGTGGCTGATAAATATACCCATTGTAAATCTGTGTCTTTCGTAACCCCATCTGTGTGGGCAGAAGTAGCGCATTCAGAGCTTTAACACATGGAAACGAGCAGGATTTGAAAATGTTGTATGAAGCGCAGAGTCTTTGGAGACAGCTAGTGCCCTGAAGTCTGCTCTACACAGAAGAGATTAACACCATTATTCTATGTATAATCTCTCCAGCAAAACACTGTCGCCTATTTCTGTCAACAAATGCTTTCTTTGCTTTGGCAGCTGGAAGAAGTTTGAGTTGTGTAGGCAACGGGACAGGCTTTATAAGTTGCAGAACCCAATTTTAAAAATATTTGGGAAGGTAACTGCAGTTTTGAGAAGTTAAATTATTTTCATTAACTAAATATTTTTTTAAACGAGCTGAAAAGACTAATTACGTCTGCTGTGTCTGACATCACCCATACAAGAGGTGGGGTCAGTGTTGAACATTTGGGGAAGGTGGGTCCCCTGCACATCCCACTGGTCCTCCCGGCCACTTCCCTGGTGGGTGTCCTCTCCGGGCAGCCAGTGCCCTCAGAGATCGCCTTCTCCCAGTAAAGTAAAAGCTTAATATTTCTAGAACCCTCAGACCAAATAAATAATTTTATTTATTTGTTTTTATTTTTATTTATTTAAATTCCGGAAAATTTGCAGAGAGAGGGGAAAAAAAAAAAGATAGTCACCAGAGTATTTTACTGTGTAATGAATCACCAAAACCATATTTCTGATGGAATTGAGTTATAAAAGTCATAGTCAAGATGTGAAAAATTTATTATTTCATGTTAATAAATATTTCAGTGTTCTTTTCCAAATAATTGAATTTAATTACTAGTTAACAAATTATTATATTTTAAGTAAAATTTTACTGTTTTCCCCAATAAATTGTTAATTTGAAAATTAAAACTGAGATAAGAAATCTGCACTTTAATAAATACCGCATTGTATTTGATTTTCTGGTTTATGGCAAATAAGAAGTAAAAAAATTTGCCAAGTTTTGAATTTAGTAGCTGAATCAAAGCTTCTGCTCTTCTCAGTTTCTTTATGTGGGTGGAAGAATCACATCATCGTGCCCAACTTCTCTTGGCGGATGGTGGGGTGCTTTGGGCACAGAGCATTTGCCCCCCTCCCTCGCTCCCGCGGTGGGGCAGATGGGGGTAGATGGGGGCAGATGAGGTGCTGGTGCCTCTGCCGTGGGGCCAGCACAGACTCTGCACAGTTTGTTACCTCCGAGTGAGCACCCGTGGGCCTGCGCCGTGGGACAGGCTGGGGTTGTGCTGATGGACAGGCAGGATGGGGTTTTGTGTGTTGATGGACAGCTGGGCTGGGTGCGGGGAGGGATGGCAGCAAGAAACAAGCCCTTAGTCACATAAAATAGACATTAAGGCGTCAGCTTTTATCTTGGGCACATCTAAGGACCGATGGGGAACAACCCCATCACAATTTTCTCAGCACCTGTCCTGCTAACAGTTCTAATGAACTACATGAATTTTTAGTTTGGTGGTTTACACTTCGTAATTCGAAACAAATTACTAGTGTAATCAGTAAGTCAGCATACAAGAATGCAAAGAACCAAGTCTCCCCTTGTATACTAAATGAAAAGATTTCTTCCAGATTCTCGCTTTGATCATTAGACCCTTTTAAATAAGCAAACATTACTTAGTTGCTAAGCCACAGACTGCAGCTCGTTAGTGTGTTAGCACAAATATTGGAAAACGGCTACTAAACCAATATTAGCTGGAGGAGCGGTGCGTGGGCTGGGGGTAATGCAATGAACGTGACACCAGAGCATTTGGAAAGGTTGCTCACGGGATTAAAACCCTTTCTGTTTGCAGAAGCCTGCCCCACGCAGCAAGGAGAAGTGCAAACCCTGCCTAGGTCTGCTTTTCTGCTACTGATATCTGTAAGGCTTTTAATAGTCTTACAAACAATTTTGTGTCTATTCTCTATTTTAAATGTTGCCCAGATGTGTTGCTGTGGCATTACTTTGTCTAATGGTGATCCTTACACCTGGTTTTCATTAGAATGCTTGTGAGCATAGATGGAAAGCCAGAATGGCATCTTAGGTAAAGAGCTGGTTTGGGAGCCCAACTCAAAATCTTGGATCCACAGATATTTCAGGTTTAATGATCGCATGCTGGGGGTTAACTCGGTGCCTTTCAGCAGAGGCTGTCAAACTTTACAACAAGTCATGCTACTTTGAATTTTTTGGTGTCCGGGGTATTATCTTAAGTGACTGAACTAACAGTTGATGCTTTTGTGTTCTTCACAGGTCTTCAATGCAGTGAGAGAAGAAGAAGGAGCAGAAGATATTTTTGACTATTTTCCCTCCCTTGTGAGAACGCTCCCGCTGCGTGATACGCACTGTTTGTGCAAAGATGATGGTGTTTGTGTAAGACCATGTGGAACAGGTGCTCACTGTGGATACCGTGCCACCACACAGAGGACTGCCCTCTCTAACTATATAACTGGTGCTTTACTGGAAGCAACTACATCATTAGGAGCAAGGAGTGGTCTTTTAAATATCTTTGGAGGATCAACTGGAAGAACAATGCTTAAAGGTAATGAAGATTTAATTTTTTTGAACCCTGTCCGCTCTAAATATAGGATGTATTGCAAAAGATATGATACTATATAATACTCTGTAGTTTACCTGATCATATATGAAGTTAACAAAAAAAAGGATGTTCGTGTTTTCAAAGATTTTTCATTGCAATCATTATGTGGCCTGATTAGCGATGCTTGTTTAATGAAGTACAAATGCATGCAAAACTGAAAATATTTTTGCTACAAAACAGATACCTTTTCAGTTGCTTTTTTTTTCTACTGAGAAACATCCTGTCTGCATCCACAGTCAGTGCATCCTGTGTAAGCACCTACAGTGCACTTCTCATTGACTGGTGGGCTTCTCCCGGACCCACCGTCCTTCAGTATTGACTCATTTCAAATAACACGGGTATTGTCTGTGTGGAAAATGCCTGTTGGAGGATGGATGTTATGTTCTACCTTTCCGCTGTTGGAGGATGGATGTTATGTTCTACCTTCTACCACCCGAAGATGCTGATCATCTTCGGGTGCAATAAGAACACCATTATGTGATTTAGTTCGGTCAGTTTGGGAAATTAAACGGCAACAAGGCATTCTTGGTACAAATTCATTGCATTAAAACAGGATTTTGTACAGAATAGTAACTGCATTTTAAATTCATTTTTAATTAATGTCTAGAATATTTCCTGAGGTACTTAAGCATTTTGGGATTTGTCATCATCTGATATACTGTAGCACAAGGATGTAGCATCTCGGTTGTACAACTGTAGAACTGAAGTATGTGGATATTACAGCTTGCCCAAAATTTTACAGGAATATGACAAGATCAGTACGGAATTCTCGGTACAGTTCCTTAACTAGTGCAGATATTGAACTCATTTTTACAAACAAATAATGATATAGTTTGTGCTTTATACCAAAGCTCATATTCTGAGCCCAAGCCAGTGAGACCTTAAAGGCAAAGCACTGCAATTCCACAGGGAAGCTGTGTAGATAGGAGAGATTTGATTTACTGCAGCGGTCTGGGCATGACTTACTGTAGTGGTCTCTGTCAAGGAAGAGATGTGCTGCAGCTTTAGGGTACTGAAGTTTTCTGGTTGTTCATGTTATGGTTATTTTCATCTGTCCAGAATCCTCTCTTACTGCAGGATTTAACTTCAAACATGAGCTAATCTCATCTAAACCCGACAACTGTTAATTGACATCGATAACAATGCTGTTGTCAAATGCAATGGAGGATTTATCACAGGATACAGCATGTCATCAAAACACTTCACTTAGCAGTTGTTTGGAGGTGTTGAAGAGGGAATATATTGATCCTGTTGCTGTGGGTTAACCCTGGTAGGCAGCCAAGCACCGTGCTGCTGCTGACATCCCCCTGCCATGGGATGGGGAGAAATCAGCAGGGTAAAAATGTGAAAATTCCTGGCCTGAGATGTAACCAGTTTAATAGATTAAAACAAAAGCTGCTCATGCAGGCCAAGGAAGATACTCATTCACCACTTCCCATGGCAGGCAGTGGTTCAGCAGTTCCAGGAGAGCAGGCCTCTGTCACACGGAATGGCTGCTTGGGGCGACAAAGGCCGTCACTCCAGATGTCCCCCTTCCTCCTTGTCCCCAGCTTTTATTACTGAGCACAGTGCTGTATGATATGGGATATCCCTGAGGTCGGTTGGGGCCAGCTGTCCTGGCAGCATCCCCTCCCCGAAGTTAAGGGTGTCATATGCTGCAGAGATACCAGGGAGATGAAAATAAATATTTGTTTTGACAGGCAGAGGCTGTGAGTGCCCATGCAGCAATTCCGGTGCTGGGCACTGCCCTGAACTGGTGTCAGCAGCAGGAAACTAGCACTGTAACTTCTAGGTTAGGTTTCTCCATGCTGGAGAAAAAATTCTCCAGAGGGAAAACACCTTCTCTGATTCTGTTCCTGCTGTTGTGATCCAGAATAGCAGATGTTTGTTGTTCCTGTGTCTCACAGGATGAGGCAGGAGGGTCGGTTTCTGAGTGTTGCCTTGCTTCCACAGAAACTTTAAGCATAGGTTCTCACATCTTTGTATTTAATTAATTTTTAAATTTTGTTAGTAGAATGTGTCTTACGGTTTTTCCTTTAAAATTGTACTTGAGAAAGAATTTGCAATGTAGGACAGTGTCATAGTACAGTCTGAGGTCCTAGCAGAAAGGTCCTGATGGAAGTGCAGGAGAGCACAGTTAATAATCCTTCAGACTGTGACTCTTCCTGGGGATGGCACTAGCTGAGGTGGTGGCAGTTGGAGTGTGATTGCTCCCTGCTTCACTCTACAGGAGAAAAAGGGCTTTTAATAATGTCTACAAAACAAGATTTAGTTTAAATGAGTAATCTTGCAATTAAACATATAATTATAGGCTGCAGTTTACCAGCTTTTGAGACTTTTTTTTTAATTAAAATAAAAATCAGTATAGTTCTTTCTGTTCCAAATTAGGAAAGAGCTTAGTCAAACCTTTTTTTTGAGGTTGGGGAGTATTGTCTACTGACTGTGTTCTTCTGGAAGCTCCTTTCCAGTACAGACATGGAACTGTGGACATAATTTAGATGGCTGTCAACTCTAATTATTACTGCACTTGGAATGATTTTCAAGACAGTTCTTAAAAAGCTTCAGAAGTGGAAGTGAATTTGTTTGTTAAAACCAGTCTGTATCAGCTGAGCTTGAAAAGATCTCAAGGGCTGTTGGATTTATGTTTGGAGGACCTCTTCTGGACCAGACAGCATTCCACTACTTTTCCTTCAAAATGTTTGCAATTCCTGGAGATACAGTTCAGCACTCTTGCATAATCTGTTTAAAGAGGAGCCCGTTCCTTTACTGGGGAGTGCCCATCAGGATTTAAAAGGAAGACTTCTCCAAGCCTTTGTAGCTCTGTAGTGAGGGCTTTTACGGAGTCTCTGCCCTGGGAACACAGAGTCCCTGATGCTGGGATGGGCTCCTGGCTTTTTGTCTCTCTGGCATTAAGCACGTTGTGTTCAGCCCTTCAGGAGCTCTTTGGTGACCTGGGCAGTGAACCTCACAGTAGAAGCAGTCCTGCTCCAGCAAACACTGCTCTGGGGCTGTGTTAGTAGCTGAGGACCCTGGATGCTCTGTGTCCCTAGGGCTGCGGTGGTCTTGTGGGCAGACCAGCTGCCAGGGGTGGTCCTTCCAGAGGAGGCTTCCAAACATGCCACAATTCCCAGTCACGTGGAGCTGGGGCCGAGAGCCTTTAGAAGGTGCTGTGGGGCCTGCTCTGTGGGAGACCCCTGTCTCGGGTGGGAGGCAGGAGCAGGCCCTGCTCTGAGGGGGCTCCCCCCAGGAGCTGCAGCTCCGTTCCGGTAGCACAGGGACAGGCTGATGGGGGGCTCCCGGGCAGCACAGATGCCTGGAGTTCCCCCAGCTGCTCCATGACAGCCACATCCTGGGCAGCATCTGTTCCTGCAGAACAGAGCCTTCACCTGTGTTTCAGCTGGGCTGGTTTAGCACCTCTCTGCGTAGCTGGGAGTTGCTGGTTAGGAAGAAGCTTTGAGAATGTCTTTCGGTGGGATTTGGATTGGAACCAGATTTCTTCCTGTGGAAAGGAAATCCTGCTTCTCGCAGCCTGTTCTGGTTCTTACTAATGGATTGTTACAGAGGCTTGTTCGTAGCTGTTAATGGGCCAGAACTTTCACTGGAATAATTTGAAGACTCTGTCGTGGTCAGAGTTCGTGTGGTGGTGGCAATTTTTTTACTGAAAGTGGAAAAAAAGGTTTGGGTCTTTTTTAAATCTTAAGGAAGGAGCTAGGATATGTGGAAATGTTTGTGCTTGGTATTTGATGCTTGTGCCCAAAGTCCTTCCCTGTGCCCCCACCCCAAATCCCATTGCAAGAGTGACTTCTGTACCTTTGTCATCTAGGAAAAAGTGAATAATCTAAGTCTAAACTGTAATAAAAGTGTAATCTAAGTGTACAGTGTGGTAGAAGTGTAATCCAAGGAAAGCGAAAAGAGGTGTCCAAGGATGGGGCAGGCAGCAAACATTTCTCATCAATATTCTTTCCACTTTAGTATCTTTCAAAGCTGTTTAAGTCTGATGCCACTTTAAGTGCTCTGTACTGGTCTCCATCCCTGGTCCCTGTTGTTTGCCTTCCAGAGAAAGGATACTGAGACTTTGTTGAAAAGACAACAACAGTTTTTAACCAAGAACAGAAGGAAACTAGTTTGTTGTGAATGTGCAGGCAGACGATATTGGTCTAAGAAAACCTACATCATTCATCCCTCCGTATTCAGAATTACCTGTTCTCTGTTCTCAGGCTTTGCCTCAGCAGAGGTTGGCAACAAACAGGTCTCTGTGGCTTTTCCCACTGTTGTTTCTTGTACCCTCTGTACAAGGGAATGAAGGACACACTGATGTGTGGGGTTGAAGGCTGGAAGAGCAGAAGCTTGTGCAAAGTGATGTTAGTTTTAAAATCAAACTTATTTTTTTATGAAGAGTAATTTGTAGAAAAAATGAGATGGGATTCAAAGCTCAGATAGTTAATCCCTGAACTGCTTATTATTGTTTATTATTTTAAAGATCTGAACATTTGTTTGAATGGGCCTTGTAAAAGTAGCGTCCATGGGAACTTTGAAAGTGCAGAATGGAACTTTTTTGGTATATTTATTTTAGCATGTCAATCATAAGCAAAAAACCCCAAGGACCTCAAACCTCAAGATGGCTCAAGAGTTGTCTCTAAAGATTCCCTTGAAGTTTTGTTTCTAGGAAAAAAATTAGTAGAAAATCAATTATTGTAGGATAATGCTGTTTTATTTATATCCAGACACAATTGTTTTTGATTCAATTCTAAGATATACTATACAGTTTTCTTTGTAGAATCAAGAATATTTTGATTTTTTTCTTTAGGTTTTATAGGTTTATATTTAGTGGAAAATTCTCTAGGATTGGCCCTGTAATGCTGTGAAATGTTTAATCTGTTTTATTTTGTGCTTTTGTAGGGAGGTAGCATTGATAAAATGGATATTGATAAATTATTGAATCT